TAAAGAACAGAGGCAAACCGAGAAACAGCCTCCTAGACAAGCAGTCAGCCCTACAGGACCCGGAAATGGCTACTCACAGAGGGATCTGCGTGGTGATGCACACGGGCGGCCCAGTGCTCGTGTCAGTCTCCGTGTCGCTGACGTCCATCCACTCGTCAGACGTCTCGCTCTTGCCCTCCGTCGGGGACAGCGAGGGCGAGGGCGCGCCTTCCCCGCCCATGAGCTCCCCGCCGTGCAGACTCAGAGGGGCGACGGGGGCTCCTGGCGAAGGGAGAACGGGGCAAAGCAGAGGGTTATTTGAGGTTCGTTGGGAATCGGGAAATCAGGGAGAGGTTTAATTACGGTTCGTTGGGGGTTAAATGGAGGAGTTTAGGCTGAGTTAGATTACCTTGGGTTTGCTTTTAGTGGACGGATTCCCCGATCAAGTTTTGCTTTTGGATTCATGAATAGATTTGTAGTGATACGTTGTTTTTTTTACGTTTTTCGCTTCCTAAGTGAAATAGAATCAACGTTTGAGGTAACAAGGCAAAGTTATGTATTAATTTATCTGAAACTAGAAAATTACTGTAATTCGACTATGAAACAGGTAACAAATTTCTTTTGAAAATCGGCAAATCTTGAAAATCTCTTATCAACTAATATTCTTAATCCTTATCAGTTTGATTTCACTGATGATACATTGTGACATTTAGGATTACGTGCTAAATATATCTAAAGACAAAATGGAAAACTAAAACACAAAGCTATTGCCTCCCACCTCCGTAAATTCTGGTGTGGACGCTGGATCCCGGTGTGCTGGGCGTCGTGGGCGTGGTGGGCGTGAGGGCCGGAGGCGTCGCGTCGAGGATGCCCCCGATGCGCGTGAGTTTGTACGAGAACACCTCGTGGACGCCGTCTTCGGAGTCACCTGGAATAGGGAGACGCTTGAGATGGTTGCTGGTTTTGCGGTGTGGGCGTGTGGGCGCTGTGCGGGTGTCGGGGGAAGATGTGGGTGGTGGGTGGAGAGAGTGCATGTGTGTGTGTGAGTGTGAGTGTGAGTGTGTGTGTGTGTGAGTGTGAGTGTGAGTGTGAGTGTGAGTGTGAGTGTGAGTGTGAGTGTGAGTGTGTGTGTGTGTGTGTGTGTGTGTGTGTGTGTGTGTGTGTGTGTGTGTGAGAGAGAGTGTGAGTGTGTGAGTGTGTGAGTGTGTGAGTGTGTGAGTGTGTGAGTGTGTGTGTGTGTGTGAATGTGAATGTTTCTGAATATGAATATAAAGTAAAGGAAAGCTGACTTGTGACGAAGATCAAAGCACCAGCAACCCACCCTGACTGCCGTCGAGCGAGGCGTCGTCCCCGTCGTAGAAGGCGTGGTCGATCTGCATGGGCTCCGCGCGGTAGGTGGGCGTCTCGGGCTCCGGCACTTCCTCGATGCTGCACACGCCGGGCTTGCCCTGCGGCGGCACCCCCGGCGGGTACACGGGCTCGTACGAGTGCGAGTTCTGCGACGCGTTGTACATGGATATCTCGTCGTACATGTAGCTGATGGAGTCGAGCTGGTCCTCGCGCACCACCGCGAACTGCGCCGTCACGATGCCGCCGTCGCAGTCGTCGTACTGGCTGGAGTCCGAGCGCGGGGGGTTGACGGGGTCGTAGCCCTCGGAGGGCGGGCGGATGGTGTCGTAGCCCACCGTGGACGGCGCCCGGATGTCGTCGTAGCCGCAGGAGGACGGGGCGCCGATGTCGTCGTAGCTAACGGCGCTGACGGCTCCGATGTCGTCGTAGGCGAGGGTCTGCGTGTCCTCCGCCCCCTGCTGGAGCTCGGCGTAGTTGTGGCCCTCGGAGGACACCTCCTTGCCCTTGCTAGACGGGGAGATCTTGCCGTACCTGTCCATCCTGCCGTAGGTCCTCACGCCGATCAGCCGGGTGAAGGGGGAGCGCTCGGGCTCTGCGTCTTCTGGGACAGTTTCTTTCTTGTCGGAAACCTCTGAAGCCGCAGGCGCCTGCGCGCCGTCGCTCCACAGGAACGATGAGTTGGGCTTGATGCCGCGGTTCTCTAGCTTCTCGCGGTTGCGGTTCAGCTTCTCGAGGTCGGGCGCGTAGAGGTTCTCGTAGATGTTCTCCGTCTCGTTGCTGCTGTCGCTGTCGCCGTTCGAGCGGTCGGACGCGAGGGAGTCGTCGAGGATGGCGTCCTTCGACTCCGAGAGGCCGTCCGACTTGGACTCCGTAGGCGGGTCGGGGATGGGCGTCTTGGGAGGCGGAGGGATGGGCGTGGTGGCGGACGACGGCGGCGAGGGGATGGGCGTCTTTGGTGGCGGAGGTAACGTCTTCGACTTCATGTTGGTCTTGGGCGTCTGAGGCTTGTCGTACAGACTCTCGGTGTCGAAGGTGAAGACCAGATCCTCGGACTTGCGCTTCAGGTCAAGGGGGAGCGTGAGGCTGCTGCCTGACGCCATGCACGAGGAGTCGCAGGTGGTCACGGTGGTGCTGCTGCCTGGCGTCGACGGCTCCTCGGCCTCCCGCGCTGCCTCGGCCTCCTCCAGGTCCAGCTGCTCGAGGAGCTTCTTGTTCTTCTTCCGGTCGCGGCTCCTCGACCTCGACCTGATGGTCCACTTCCCGTAGGTGTTGTCGTCCTTCTCCTTCTCCTCTTTCTTCTTGCTCTTCCCGTCTTTCTTTGGCTCGTCACCTGAGGTCTTCCTCTCTTCTTCTCGTCTCTTTTCCTCCTCTTTGCGCATTTCCTTTTCTTCTTTGGCTTTGTCTTTATTTCTCTTACGTTCCTGACTTTTCTCTCGAAGTTTTTTGAAGGTGAATCGCTCATAGGTTCTCCCTTCTCTTTCTCTTCCTTCTTTCTTGGGCGAATCTGCCTTATCTTCTCCTTCTTTATCAGCGTCCTCTGCACTCTTTCCTTCTTCTGATCCCTGATCTTTATCATCCTTTTTCTTATCCTTCCCACGCTCTCTTGACCTTCCTCTTCGGTACCACTTTTCCCTGTCCGCTGAAGGAGACCTGTTCCTCCTCTCCCTCTCCCTCTCCTCTTTGCGCTCTGCATCCTTTTCTTTGGTTTTCTTGACAGTGTTCTTGACGGCGGTTTTGACGGCGGTGTAGATGCGACTCTCATGCCCCCTGCTGGTAGACCTCTTCGACTTGGCCTCCGAGCACACGGAGCTGACCTCGGAGTGAGTGTCGTCCATGTTGCTGCTTGCGATGGACCGCAGGTCGGCCTCGATGTTCTTATCTTCTGCATCTTCCTCGGGACTTCCTTTCCCTCCCTCGGGGTCAGCTTGTTCATTTCCTGGTTTCCCTTCCGTCTCCAAGCCATCGATAATTCCCTTTTCCAAAGGCTCTGCTCCGTCTTTGCTTTCCTCTTCTTCACTTTTCGATGCAGCCGCAGTACCTTCCTTCTCGACCGTCGCTGCTGCTGCGGCTGCCTCTGGATGCTCGTCCTGGTTACCTTGGGATTTCTCCTGTTCTGCGGTGGTAATCTGGGCTGCACTGCTTGGGCCTGGCTCTGGCGTCGCTTCTCCGGAGGGCTTTACAACCACTGCGCTATCTTCACTCCTAAAAGTGTCCGTCGATATGACAGTTTCCAGAGACGAGTCTTCAACCCCAGAGGAGAGCAAGCAGGGAGTGGAGGTGGAAGCAAGGGGCGTGCTGGGGAGGTTGGGAGAGCCCGCCCCCGAGAGTCGATCGCCTTCAGTAGATATGCCAGAGTCCATGGAGTCCGACTTGGCATGTCTCTCAGGCAAGGGAAACACCTGGTCGATCTCCGTTAAAATATCACTGGGCTGCTGAGGAATCTGCCCCAGAACATCTGTGACAGCGTCCCTCTCTGTCTTTTCAGAAGAATTTTTGGTCTTTGGTATGGTTGAACTGGTCTGTGTGAGGGCGCTAGAAACAGATGCCGAGTCTGCCGCAGAAGAGGCAGGTTGTTCAGTGCTGGGCTGGGTGGCACTCCTGAGGCCACCTGCGTTGGAGGTAGAAGGGGAGGGAGAAGGCAGCCGACTCCTACACTTCTCCTCGTCTGTGGACTTTTTCTCCGCCGCCTCGTCTTCAGAGTCGTCTGTTTCCCCCTTGAATTTCCCTGATGACAGAGCCGTCTTAATCTTCTCGCACACCTTCTCCTCGTCCGTCTTGTTGTCCCCCAGCTTCTCCAGGAGGGACGCGGGGCTCTTGGCCTGCGGCGACTTCTTGGGCGACGGCGACCTCGAGGACCTGGCGGCGTTCTTCCTGGCGCTGGGGTCGGCCCTCTTCTCCTCTCGGTTCTTCTCTTCCTTCTTGCTTTTCTCATCCATGACCTTTGCCCCTTCGGGTAAATCCTTGGCTTCTGGCTCAGCCCTTGCGGCCTTCACTCTGTTCTTCAGTCTGATGCTGGTCTGAGGACTCCTCTGCATTCTTGCCTTCTGCACAGACACGTGGCCGAGGGGAAGCTCAGACTTGACAGCCGGCGCCCCTGCTTGGTTCTGCGATATGATGGTGTTGAACTTGTTCGCCAGCGTGGCCACGGTGCTCGGTTTGATCGTCACGCTCAGGCGATATTCCGCCTTCCTCGCATTCTTCATGTCCAGCCTCCCGTTCTTCGAATCTTTCCTCCGAAGCTTTACAGCCTGAGTCTTCACGAAACTCTCGCCCTCCAGCGTCTCCTTCATCATCTTGGCTCGCGACGCGTAGGTGAGGCTGCTTCTCCGACCCACTCGCACTCCCGCCTTGAAACTCTCCGATTTCTTGACAGGATTCACCTTCAGGGAAGGGTCAGAGTCCTTCCGCGCTTTGTATGCAGCGGCTTCGATTTTCTTGACCACGGGCGCTTTCTCTGCTGGGGACTCGTGGGCGTGCGGGAGAGAAGGAGACAGTCTGCTGAAGTTCTCTTCTTCAACGATGTCTGGTTTGGAATTCTTTCTTTTGTTGACTTTAGCGTATTCGGGGATTGGTTTTCCTTCGGCGGTGGTGGTCGTGGTTGTAGTTGTAGAGGACGTTGGCAGCGAAGACGAGGAAGTAGAGAGAGAAGACGAGGTCGAGGACAGGGGACTTCTCAGTTCCCTTCTCCTTCTCTGCGACGCCCGGAGTGACGACCTGAATCCCCCAGTTCGAGTAAATCTGAACGAGCCTCTTCTCACAGTCTCGGGCGTTTTGACGACCGTGATGTTCAACTTTGCAGTCACGTTCTTGTTTGATATTATCGTAATGGAATCTAGATTTCTGCTGACGGGTTCCACCGTGGTCGTGGTCCCCGGCAGAGAGCCAGTGGCTTTCACCTTCCGGTCTGGACTCGTGTCGGTTGCCGTGTCATCTTTTAAGCGACTGTGCAACAGAATCTTTTTCACGCCAGACTTTGCGACGGCTTTTGGTTCATGGGAGAGTGTGTTTTTGGTATGCTTCTTGTCCTTATCTTTTCCGATGGCCTTCAGGTTCTCCGTGCTGTATGCGGAGAACTTGGAGAATGGCGAAGAGAAGCCCCTGCCGCCCAGACTCCAGCTGCTGCTGTTACTACTGCTCGCAATGCTGCTTGGTTCGCCGCTGGTGAAATTCATGCCCTCGTAAGTCAGGTTATTTACATGGTTGTGGAACCTGGCCTTCACGGTGTCGAGCGTGCTGGACTTGGCCAGGGAGGAGAGCGACGCACGCCCCAGGGGGTCCTGCGACGAGCGCGACACGGGCTCGAGGGTGCGGGAGCGCAGGGCCACCAGCGAGGGCGCGGACGGCACCGGCGACGCCGAGGCGCTGGACGAGGCTCCGGCGCCCGCGCGGCCCGGGAGCGTCTCCACGGAGGGGGTTGAGCCGTAACGGTTATGGAGAAACGATTTTTGGTATATCTGAGTTTTCTTCAGAGGAGATTCATACTTGGCCATACGAGAATGTATGAGTGAGTAAGTCTTCAGGTCCACGAGGTCCGCAGGATCACACTTATCTGACTCACTGTCGGTCTCACACGTTTCACTCTCTTCCACTAGCGCACTAACACTGTCTGTAATACTTTTAGACGCATCAACGTCAACACCACCATCACTTCCACCGGGTTCTTTGGAGAGCAGCACGTCAAGTACGTCCGTATCTTTGGTAACCAATTCTGGGGGTTCCACCTGGGAGGGCAGTTGAGCGGCGGCGTCCCTGGCGGCGGCGTCCGGGGGGGCGGCGGCGTCGCTCGCCTTCGTGGCGTCGCCTTTCTCCTTCCTGCTCCTTTCTTTCTCCTTCTCAGCCTTCTTGTTGCTCTTGTGGCCCCGGAAGTACGGCAGGATGCCCCTCTTGCTCTTCTTGATCCTGGGACTCCGCGGCGTCTTGGTGAAGGCGGCCAGGGCGGGGGACTCGCCGTCGCACGCCGCCTCCGCCGCCTTGGCCTCCCTGCCCTCGCCATGGCTCTTCTTCGCGTCGCTGGAGATCATGGAAAGCACCCTGGAGACCCGAGGACTCTTCTCGCGGCTGGACGCGGGCATGGCGGCCCCGGGGGAGAGGCTCGCCGAGGAGTGCGGGGCGCCGTGGAGGTCCCGGGGGCGTGGCGCTCGTGCCCGACGAGGAAGGGACAGCGCTGCGCGGGCCCTCACTCCCCGCCAGCCGTCCTCGCACCCTGCGGAAGGACCAACGGTTAGTTCCGGTTTGCTCCGAGCGACGCCGCCCTCAGCGTCTACTAATCACACGAAAATAGGGCTAGAGCTTTACATCACAACATCCAAATGAAAAACAAACTATATAATGCCCTCAGGATCTATAATCCTATCAATAATAATCTATAATTATTTCAGGCAATAAGGATCTATAGTCATATACAAATCAGATAAAGAAATAATCAATGACTAACTAAACACACACATGGTGGCAATACACAAATATAATGGTAAGCGAAAATCGTGAAACACTTTCACAGAGAGAGAAGAAAAGGACACTCGTCAGGGATTATTTTCTTCTCTCGCTGTGGATGTTCCAGAATACGTAAAATAAATATAACATACTCCATATCAATATTCCGATGCAGTTGCAACTTGACGAATCTTCAATCACATCATCGTTCTTACAGTCAGCATAGAGAGCCATAGTTTTTAAATACGGTCGGTATGATGTTTTCAAAATTTCTTTTGTGTGTTAAATCATTCTATTACCATGTAATTTTCTTTTCTACACGATATAAAACCGTACACTTCACCACAGCATTTAGAAAAATCACCTCCACGTCTTAAAAGAAACCAAATTGAATTGATTAACGTTAATTAATAATCACTATAGACGTTATCAACAACAGCAATTAAAATAAAATCGTCCACACATCACAGCAAGTTGACAAACATCACAGCGATTATCGACAACAACAAAAGCTGTCATGCACACATTACAGCGTCCCAATGCAGGAACAAACAGATCTCTCTCCTACAAACGTTGCAACGACCAGCAACAGCAACAAAAAACGGGCGTGCACACATCGCAGAGGTTGAGGGCAGACTAGCTCGCCAACCCTTCCGCCGCATAGCCAAGGAATGAGTGACCATCGGCGGCGAAATTGGACCTTATGGGAGAGATCCATAAGGGCCACGATGTCCCCGAGCCAATCCTTCTTTCCTCCCCCTCCAGTAGTAAACACACGTGGGGGGGGAGGGGGCTCTCGTCCGCGACAATGGCTGATATTAGAGAAAGCAGGTAAACTCTTTTTTTTTTCTTAATTTACGTTTGGTTGCTGTTGGCACTGTTGTCTGTTTGTTTGAGCTGTTGTTTTCATGGCGAGTGCTTCTTTTTCATTTATTATTTGTTTCCCTTTTTATCTTCTCTTTCTCTAGAGAAAGAGAGAGAGAGAAAGAGAGAGAGAGAGAGAGAGAGAGAGAGAGAGAGAGAGCGAGAGAGAGAGAGAGAGAGACTCATAAGCATCCGCATTGACACTTTATCAAGAATCGTGTCGCGCATCAGACGTGGCAGATTAATCTCAATCCACATGCGGGGGGGGGGGGGGCTGAAATCAAACCACGTTGACTTCTCTCTTCCTCTCTCCTATCTCCTCTCCCTTTGCTTTTCTCTACTTTCTCCCTCCTCCCGTCCCTCCTTACCTATTCCAAATTTCCTCTCTTGCTCTCTTTTCTCCTTTCTTGCTCTCTATCACCTCCTCTCTCTTCCACTTCCACTCTTCCTCCTCCCTCTTCTCTACCATTCCCCTCGAAGAATTTCTCGTCTCTTTCTCTCTCCTCTCCTCTGTCATCTCCTTTCTCTCCTCTCTTCCTTCACCCCTCTCCCTCTCTATCAATTCCTCTCTCTCTCTCTCTCTCTCTCTCTCTCTCTCTCTCTCTCTCTCTCTCTCTCTCTCTCTCTCTCTCTCTCTCTCTCTCTCTCTCTCTCTCTCTCTCCCTCTCTCTCATCCCCCTCTCTCATCCCCCCCTTTCTCTCCCTCTCTCTCTCTCTCCCTCTCCCTCTCCCTCTCCCTCTCCCTCTCTCTCTCCCTCTCCCTCTCCCTCTCCCTCTCCCTCTCCCTCTCCCTCTCCCTCTCCCTCTCCCTCTCCCTATCTCTATCTCTATCTCTATCTCTATCTCTATCTCTATCTCTATCTCTATCTCTATCTCTATCTCTATCTCTCTCTCTCTCTCTTTCTCTTTCTCTTTCTCTCCCCCTCCCCCACGTCACCTCCCTTTTCCCTCCCCCTCTAGTCAACTGCCTCTTCCCTCCCTCTCCCATTAACTCCCCTTCCCCTTCCCCCACCAACTTCCCTCCCCTTCCCCCTCCCCCCTCCTCCCTTTCTTGAGGACACCTGTTGACACGTCCCTGTGCCCCCCCCCCCCCCTCGCAACGGACCGGCAACAGGATCGCTCTTGCAACTCAGCCGGAGCCTGTGTTTGTCAGTCGCTCTTGTTTGCACGGTTGTGGTTGATGTCTTTGTTTTTATCTGTTTGTATATATATATTCATATTCATATTTTTGGATTTTTTCTTTGTTTAATTTCGTTTCCCTTTATACTGGATTAATTAAATAATCTATATAGATAATTATAGATAGTGTGCAGATATATACACACGCACGCACGAGCACCCGCACACACACACACACACACACACACACACACACACACACACACACACACACACACACACACACACACACACACACACACACACACACACACACACATACACACACACACACACACACACACACACACACACACACAGACACACACACACACACACACACACACACACACACACACACACACACACACACACACACACACACACACACACACACACACACACACACACGCACACACGCACACACACACACAGATATATATATAGATAGATAGATAGATAGACTGATAGATAGACTGATAGATAAATATGTAAATAAGTAAGTATATGCATAAAAAGTAGTACAGCTCCCCATTGATGTAACCCCCATAATGAAGCAATTCCCCCCCCCCCTCCTTTCCCTACTTCCTTCCCTCAAAACCCAAACTTTCTTTCCTCGCCTCCCCCCCCTTACCCCCCCTTCACCGTCCAACCCCCCTCCCCCCCAAACCCCCTATGTAGGTTCCGAAAGGGTCCCAGGCGCCGCAGGAGGTTCTCCTCGTGAAACCTGGGGAAGCCTTGTCGTCGGGGTCTTGGGCTGGGGGGGGGGGACTCCTTGCTTTTTTTTGTTATTTATTATAATTATTTTTGTGTGATTTTCTTTTTTTTTGGTGGATGGGGGAGGTACGAAAGAAATGGTACAGTATTTGTTAACTTACATACATAAGCGTATTTATGTGCGGTGTGTGTTTGTTTGTGTGAGTGTGTGTGTGCGTGTGCGTGCGTGTCTGTGTCTGTATGTGTCTGTGTGTTTGTGTCTTTATGCGTGTGTGCGTGTGTGTGCGTATGTGAACACGTGTTGATGTCCGTGGGAGTGAGAATGTGTGTGTGAAAAATGACATGCTTACATCCTGTCCGTCACTTATACACGCGTTTTTATCATATATTACAATCGCCAATTCGGCAAGAAGAGAGAAGCGGGTTTAAAGGGAAGGAAGGAAAGAAGGAAGTGGCGAAGGCAGGGAGGAATGGAGGAGGAAAAGCAAGATGAAAGGAA